TACTGATCTAGATTTATATAATACTATTTGCTGTAAAAATTTTAAAGCTATATCTTTTCAATTTAAAAAGTTAGAAGAGGTGGGATACTTATGACTTTGACTGTAGATCTTTTAATGTATATTATTTGTACCTTCTTGAAACTTTTGCACATATATTTGATTTCTTCTGTATTGATATTTACTAGTAAGTCCTATATTGTAAAATAATTGTATAAATCTGTTTTATTTTTTGCTATTAATCAGTTTTCTTTTTTTGATTAGTTTTTGTGTCTTTTTTTTTCTTTTTTGTATTTGCTTTTTGCTTGCTATTCAAGTTTTGGTTCTTTGTTTTTCTCTTTTTCTAAAATAAATTTGAGCCATTTACCTTTCTTTTCTTAAATTCTGTTCATTATTGCATTTCAACTATATTTATAATCAAAGTCTATTTCTACCCAGTTATTTTCATTTTTAAAAACTTTTTTAATTGCTTTAATGTAATAGTTTTTGCCTAAAATCCATTGCACATATTTTATTTTTTTATTACTTGATTTTTTTGGCAGAATATATGTTGTCATGTTTCTTTAAAAGACTGGTCTTTGCTATATACTCTGTTTTTTGATAACTATTGGCTATACTCAATTATAATATTGAAAATTAGATTTTTATAGATTATGTTTTCTTTTTTTAATTTTATTATCTTCTTGGCAATATTTTTTATATTTTTTCTAACATTTTAGATAATATTGTTTTTTGTTGCCTTTGTATCCTTCTTTATTTTCTTTTCTCTTAACTTTTTTGTTCTATTCAATTCATTTCTAAATGTTTGGTTTATGTTTAATATAAAATTGTTTTGTTGCATGTCTTGTGGTGCATTATTGTTAAGCTCTTTAATTTGTTTAATAATTATGTTTATTGTTTAGATTGGCTTTTCTTGAATTGCTTTTTTGTTTTTCTTCTTTTTAATATTATTTTTTTGTTTTTGAAGTTTGCAATTTTTCAATATCATTTAGTTTTTTATTACTTTTATTTTTCTATCTTCTTTGAGTATTTCTTCTTTACTCTTATTTGTAATATAATCAACTAACTTTGGGTTTTAATTTATTAGTTTGAATAAGTGATAAAATCTTAATTGGCTTTAATAATCAATAGCTGGCATTAAATTTTATGCAGTATTACTTTAATTTCTCACAGTTGATTTTTAATAACAAATATCAATATCTAAAAAGCCTTTTCTTATTATATATGATATTGCAATAAAAAAAAGTGTAAATAGAACTTAAAAAAGCTATAATAGAAAAGAGTACAGCTTTTTTTATCAGTAGTATTATCAAATTTTATATGTTGCAAGAACTTGAAATTCATAAATCATTGAGATCATTAACTTTTTTACTTCATATAATAGAGTATTGAATTTAAAAAGAATAATTTTACTAAAAAAATATTAAAATAGATTAGTGTTTGGAACTTATAACTGAGCAGAGTTGCTTTATAGAGAAAAAACTGGCATTGAATTTAGATAATATTTACTAATTAAGTAGCTCTTCTTCTAACTAGTTTTCAGATTTAGATAATAAAAGATATAAAAATAAGTGATTTGTTTTTGTCTTGTAAAGTGAATATCAATATTTTTTTTTTTGCTTATATATATTTTTTTTTTTGCTTATATATATTTTTTTATCTGTCTATAATTATTTTTAAAGTAATGTATTATTTCAACTAAACAGAGGCTATAAAACAAATTTACTTACTATGTTTTTTCATATTTAAGTATATAAAATAAACAGTAATAATAGTAATGCATCTGAGACAAATAATAATAATTTCCTCAAAACAAATAATAGTAATACCTCTAGAACTATTAATAATAACCCAGTGCCATCTAAATCAAAATCTGTAAAAGTTACTAAAACCTATAAGAAAACTTTATACTATGTAACTATATTTATAAAGCCATATTGTTATGATTAAGCCTTTTTTATTCTTTTAAAATTAGATAAATGTAAAGTAAAACAAGATAAAATGAAAATAACTGAAATTAAAATTTTGAAATCAAAATCTAATAACAGTTTATTGCTAGACCATATTAAATTTCAAAAAATGCTAGACAAAAACTAAATATATTTTTTATTTTTTTATATTATAAAATAATAATTTTTTATTTGTATATTGCCAGTTCAGCAAAAAAAAATTATTAAATAAAGAAGAAGTTTGCTGAGGCTTCTAATCTTTTATTTTTACATGCTTTTTTTTTATAAAATAAAGAGGGTCATAACATATGCTATTATTTAAGAAAAAAGTTACTTTAATAATCTGGATATAAGACTTTGAATAGATAAAGTTATACATATTCAATATTTACTAAATATTGTTTTTTTAAATATTTTATATATAAAGTAGTAGGTAATCTTATCCTAGCTTTAAAATTCTGCTTATGTTTTAAAAAATCTACTTTATTCATATTTTTATATTTATTTTTCTAGTAATTATAATTATTTTACATTTCAAAGACAATATAATATTGCCATTTATTTAATATTTGTTTTAAGATTTTTTTGAACCTTTGTTGTAATAGAAAAATAATAAAATCTATATCTGCTTTATTTCTGATAAAAATTTCTGAGATGCAGTCATTAAATATTAGATTAGATTGAGTATATACTTTAGTCTCTAATAAAGATTTGTTATTATTACTTATTATATTTTTTGAATTAAAGGTGTAAAGTGATTCAATAGGTATACTTGTCTTAATATTTAATATGTCTTTTAAGCTAAATAATTTAGTTATATGCATATTCTGTTTTAAAATGCTGATCACTTTTTGGCATTTAGAAGTCTTTTTAGAAAAATTGTTTATTATATTTTGAATCTGGTTATCTTTTAGACTTGAAATAACATTTGTACTATAAGTTATTTGTCTAATTTTATCTATTCCTATTTCTTTAAACAATGTATAGAATTTTTTTAGCTTTGAAAGTTCTTTTATACAAATTTACATTAGTAATATTAGAAAGAAGTAATTTGATTTCATTATATATTATTGTTGCTAATTGGTTATTAATTTTATTTTTAGACTTAATATTTCTAATTCAATCTTCATATGCTTTAATGTAGCAATATTAGTATAAATTTTCTTTTTGTTTAGTTTTCATTGCTGTATTAAATAAATCTACTATAATCTGAGATATAACTTCATTAGATACTATTAATATTAATTCTAGAAAAAGTTTAGAAATTTGCATATCTATGTTTTGTATAGGGATACTGTTCTTAGAACAAACAGTTAACTCATACATTATGCTTTGTTCTATTTTCTAATTGTAAAAAATTTTTATTTTAGAACTTTGTATCTAATTATTGGACATTCTTTTGAGCTCATAGTTCTTCAACTTATTAGAAATTGATTGGATATTTTTTTGCTTATAAGAAATATTAGGGCAAGTATTAGCAGAGTCTAAGATTAATTTCTAATCTTGGCACAAATGTACTAACTTATTTTGAAACTTTATTGTCTTATCTTATTGCTAATTTTTTTCTTATATACCAAATCTATAAATTCATTATTCTTTTTTTCTTTCAATATTTTAGATTCTGAACAAGTATGTTAAGTCATATTAAGGCTATTATTTGCATTAGAGTCATTCTCAATAAGTAGTGAAACAGATAATTAGAAAGTTACTGAATTAATTGAAGATTTCAGTATAGATATATCATCTTGTACTGAAAGATTAATAGCAATTTTCTCCTGTTTAATTTTCTTGATATTATTATCTAATTTAGCAATAAGATTGGTTTTCTCTTTATTTCTCTGTTTTAGATTCATAAATCTGGCTTTATGTTCTTCTAAAGCATACTTTAACTTTGCATTTTTGGCTTTAACTTCGATATTCTTAACCTTGACTTCAGCATACTTCTTTCTAAGTTTAGTAATCTTAGCTAAGAACTTTAAATTTATTTCTTTCAATAATTTAAGCTTAAATTTCATGTTTAATAATATTTATTATACAAGATAAAATAATTCAAATATTAAGTTAGTATAGATAAAAACTAGAAAAGAAGTATCTAATTATACAAACATTGAGGAATAAAAAAATATGCATATATTTTATTTTGGAACATTAATCAATTTTATCAAGAAACAATTTTATTCATATATGCAAAAATAAATATAAGATCAGGATATAGCTCACAATACAATAAATAAATTTACTCAATATACACATGATTATATATGTAAAATCAGCCACCAGGGTTAGCTTTATTTAGTTTGCTTGATGTTTTATGAAATAGTTACAAATCTGTTATATAATGTATATATTTTTTGGTAATAATACAATAAGATAGCTGTGCAACATTGTCATGCAAAACCAGAAACAAAAGACATAAAGAGTATTGATATTGCATATAGTAAATACAGTATATAGGTTGTTGCACTATTGGGCATATGTAGTAATATGTTATATATACAGTATACTATATACTGTTAGTTAGCATAATTTGGCTAGCTAGTATAATTCTGATCAGGTTGTATAATGCAGTAGCTAGAGATAGAAAAATTAAAGTTTTTTTGAATCTATTGCACAGGCTGTGCAGCCTGCACAGCCTCAGTTCCTTATTAGGTTTCATATTTATATATATAAAACATCTATTTCATATATATAAAGTTGAACTTCTATAATTTTTAATTAGCATGCCAAGGTTAGTTTAAATGTTAGTTTTTATTGTTTTGCATTTTTTTACTTTTTTTCTGCATATTAATAAATTTGCATTATTTGGTAAATAGAAGAACTTATTCTTAATAATTCTGATCAAATTTGCAAATTATTTGGCCAGATCTAGAACAAAATATCTTTAAATGCAGTTAAATAATCTGCAAGTTGATCAGAATTATAAACAATGAATTTTATTAATTAGGTATGCTAATCCATTTTTCTTTCAAGTAGATCTAAACTGATTTCTGATTGGTAATTCAAACCTGAATTATAAAGCTGATCAGAATTATGTTAGCTGGCCAGAATTATAAAAATTGCATTATGCAGTCTTAAAAAATGCTTATGCATCTTATTTTTAGCAGTGGCTTATTTTTAACTGCAAGTACTGTACACAAAATTTTTACTAGTCTTTTAGTAAAGTAGTAGTAATGGGCAATGTGCATGACATGTGCATAATTATGCATATGAAATTATAGAATCATGTGCATAATTTTTATAATATTGACAAATAATATAAACAAGATTTTTCAATAGGTTTCAGAATATTACAAAAACTCAGAAAAATTCTAAATAATTCCTATACATATGATGCACATCATGCATATAAAATAAGAAAAAATTGAAATTTGCATATCACTATATCTATATAGGTTTGTATAAGCTATATTAAGCTGATTATACTTTATTTATCATATATTAAGCAAAAATATTACATTCTTTTTAGCAATGTTTAAAGTACTACACAAAGTTACAAGGATTGATTATCTAATCAGGTCCAAGATTTTGCACATCAATATCTGAATTACATATAAACTACTGAAATAAAATAAACCATTATAATGACAAGTGCAATTCCAAATCATATGAAAATGAAATAAGATAGATCAATAAAAATGAAAGGCATAAAATAGTAAAAAGGCTGCATAACAAAATTGATAATACAGATGGGATTTTGTTTAAAACAGATAATAACTTGACAATTAAAAGGCCATAATAATAAATAAGAAAATCTAAATGCTTAAAATACAAATATGATATCAATGCAAAAAATTTATAATATACAAATTTAGAAATTACAAGATAAGTCATAAGGATCAATCATTCAATCATATTTAAGATTTTGTAAATTTACATCTGAATCACCTATAAACCATACACTATATTGTACATTATACAAACTCTGTTCCTAAAAAATAACAAAATATTGTATTACTTTATTCTTATACACTAACCTTATTATGTGAATAAAACTATAATATTAATACATTTTATAGTAATTCTATAACAATGCTGATTGAACTATGATGGTATGGTTTTATTTAGTGCAACTACACTATGAAAATGTACTAAAAACATGTTACTGGAATACATAAGATTTCACCAATCTGGATTAGAAAACAATAATAATTATAGGTAATGATGCTAAAATCAGATAATCATAAAATTAATAAACCTGATTGATTAGGGTTTGGTTAGAATTAGAGTAATAGCCAATAGGATTTTTAGATTTTACAATTATTCAGATTTTAGCTATACATAAGTGTCTAAATTATTTTTGAAAAATTATATTTTCAGCAAACATTTCAGCATTGCTAAATTTTTTATATAAAGCCCTTTGAAATAATTATATTATAAGATATATTTTGATAAAAAGAGTTCAAAAAATTTTGGCAATAATTTCAGCAAATATGAAAATTAATTTTGACACTATATAAGACTAATTTCAGCTGCCTAAATGCTATAATTACTTTTTTATTAAGATAAGCAATTTAGGTATTCATGTATAATTTTGCATAATCATAAGAATTATAATTTGTAATGTGCCAAGGAAAAAGTTATAAAAAATTATTTGCATACATTTTCTGATTTATATGTGAAAATTATAACAAGTAGGAATGTTTTATTTTATTTTTTTTGATGTTAAGATGACCTTTTTGGTCTTTTGACTTTTATTCATCACTGATCAGTATTGTGGTTCAATGAACTACTACAGGAGAGTGTACAATTAGCTACATGTGTAAATTTCTATATTATCTATTTAAGAAGTCTGCTTAAAAGTTCTCCACCAATTGCTGTATCTAACACCTCTGCTTGGATGTTCTACTTTAAACCCTTTGAACCTGTAATCTGTGTTAACTTAC